CAAAACATATAAAGAATGTCTATAATTCAGTAATAAAAAGACAAACATCCAATTATGAAAATGAGCAAAAAGTTTAAACAAACACTTCACAAAAGAAAATAGATGAATGACCAATAAACCCATGAAAAAGTTTTCAATATCATTAGTTATCAGAGAAATGCAAATAAAAACCATAATGAGATATCACTACATGATGTCTAGAATGGCTAAAATTAAAGAGACTGACAACAACAAATATAGGAAAAAATGTGGAGCAACTGGAGTTCTCATACATTGCTGGTGGGTCTTACATTTAAGTCTTTAATTCATTTGAGTTTATTTTGTATATGGTATAAGATAGGGCTCTACTTTCATTCTTCTATATGTGGATATACAGTTTACTCAAAATCATTTATTGAAGAGGCTGTTCTTTCCCCAGTGAATGTTCTTGGTGCCTTTGTTGAAAATCAGTTGGCTGTATGTACATGAATTTATTTCTGGGTTATTTGTTCTGTTCCATTGGTCTATGTGTCAGTTTTTATGCCAATGCAATGTTGTCTTGGTCACTAACTCTTTGCAGGATATTTTGAAGTCAGATGGTGTGGTACCTTCAGCTTTGTTCTTTCTGTTCAGTATTACTTTGGCTATTCAGTCTTTTGTGGTTTCATATGAATTTTAGGATTGCTTTTTTTATTTCTGTGAAGATTGTCATTGGTCTTTTGATAAGAATTGCATTGAATCTGTAGATTACGTTAAGTAGTATGTCCATTTTAACAGTATTAATTCTTTAAATCCATGAACATGGAATACCTTTTTGTTTTTTGTATGTCTTTAAATTTTTTAATCAGTGTTTCATCGTTTTTATTGTAAAAGTCTTTCATGTCCTTGGTTAATATTATCCTTAAGTATTTCACCTCCTTGGTTAAATTTATACCTAAGTATTTTATTTCTTCGTAGCTGTTGTAAATGAGGTCACTTTCTCAATTTCATTTTTCAGGCAATTTATCATTGGTGTTTAGAAATACTACTGATTTTTGTACGTTGATGTTGTATCCTGCCACTTTACTGAATTCATTTATCAGTTCTAAGAGTATTTTTGTGAAGTATTAAGGTTTTACTGTATGTAAGATCATGTAATCTGAAAACAGGAACAATTTGACTTTCTCTTTCTAATTTAGATTTCCTTTATCTCTCTTGCCTAATGGCTCTGACTAGTACTTCAAGTACTATGTTAAATAAGAGTGGTGAAGGTGGGCATCCTTGTCACAGTTCTTAATGTTAGCTGTGCGTGTTTTTTTAAAATACAATATTTTTCTGTGTTAAAATATGTTCCTTCTTCACCTATTAATAGTTCAAAGTTTTTATCATAAAGAGATGTTGAATTTTACCAAACACTTTTACTTCATCTATTGAGATGTTTATATGATTTTTGTCCTTTATTCTGCTGATGTCATATATCACATTTATTGATTGGTATTTGTTGAAAACTCCTTACATCTGAGATAAATTTCATTTGATCGTGGTTTGTAATCTTTTTGATATGCTGTTAGATTCAGTTTGCGAGTATTTTGTTGAGAATTTTTTTTTTTTTAATTTTCTTTTTTTGAGGCGGAGTTTTGCTCTTGTTACCCAGGCTGGAGTGCAATGGCGCAATCTCGGCTCACCTCAACCTCCGCCTCCTGGGTTCAGGCAATTCTCCTGCCTCAGCCTCCTGAGCAGCTGGGATTACAGGCACATGCCACCATGCCCAGCTAATTTTTTGTATTATATTCATCGGGAATATTGGCCTTTAAGTTTTTTGTTGTATCTTCATCTACTTGGAATCAGGCTGGCTTTTCAGAATGACACCTTTTAAAGAAGGTGTTAGTCCTTTAAAAGTTTGGGGTCAGGTGCAGTGGCTTGCATTTGTACTCCCAGTGCCTTGGGAAGCTGAGACAGTAAGATTGATTGAGGCTAGGAGTTCGAGACCAGCCTAAGCCACTTAGTGAGAGGCTACCTATACAAAAAAATTTTTTTTAATTTTTAGCTTTACCTGGTGGCATGCACCTGTTGAGAGCCCAGAAGTCTGAGGTTACAGTGAACTATGATTTCACCACTGCACTCTAGCCTAAGCAATCTAAAAAGATTTCTGTTTGGTTCCTTTTTGTGATATTTGTCTCTGTTGAATTTCTCATTTGGGTCATATTTTTTTTATTATTGCTTTGTATTGTCTATCTGTGTTCTTTTGTATCTCACTGAATTTCTTTAAGATCATTATTTTCCATTTCTTTTCAAGAATTTCATAGATTTTTCTTTCTTTGGGTCTGTTCCTGGGGAATTATTGTGTTTCTCTGGAAGTGTCATGTTTTCTTGTTTGTCTATGTTTCTTATATCCATACATTGATATCTATACATCTGATATAACAGTTGCTTCTTCCAATTTTATGGAGTAGCTTTTATAGGGGATGACTTTTTCCTGTATATGTATGTATAGTGTCAGTTGAGTAGGGTTCTTTGGCTTTGGATCTGGGTGGGTGCAATATAGTCTTTGTATGCTTTTTTTTTCAGCTGTAATAAATGTCAGTGGAGTCTATGAGCTCCTCGGTTGCTTAGGCCATGATTGTTTGTGAAGGCTATGAAGCATTTTTGCTGGGAATAAGGACAATAGGCAGTCTGGGCCTTGGGCTTCCAGGGGGCAAACATGGGTATGTGGTCTCCCTGCCCCTGGAGGGCGCAGGTTCACAGGTGGTGGCATTAGGCCCCAGGTGGGCTGGTCTTTTAGTCCTGGACAGTTCAGTAGGCCCTGGGCAGTCTGGTCTTTGGGTCTCTGGAAGGCACATACAGACATGCAGCAGCCCTGCCACTGTAGGGAGCAGTGTCACTGTCAGTGGAGAGATACCGCTCAGATTCTGGGGAGTGTGTACTTCAGGTCCCTATGCACCAGGGGCAGTCCCCCTGATGTGCTGAACTGATTTTGCACTGGGGTATAGGGTGCTGCCTGGAGTCAGGTGCCAGGGTCACATCTGCATTGCTGATTCCAGCTGGTGCCATGATGCTGCATCCTTCTGGGTATCTCTCTGTGGGGGGCAGGGGGGGATGTCAAGGTGTCCCCAGGGATGTGGAAGTGCAGAGCTGTTGAGCCCCAGGGCGGGATTTAGTCTGGTGGTGGCTTTGTTCTCCAAGTGATGCCATGCTGCAGCAGCCTGGGCCCCAGAGGTTGGGGGTGCAGTGTTGATTTCTTCTTTGGAACTGCAGTCATGTGGGCTCCATGCAGCTTCCTATACTAGGCTCATGACTTGTGAAGGCTGAGAGACTCTTCTTTACTCAGAATTGCAAGCATCTGTGGTGGAATGTGGACGCTAGGGATCTCTCGCTTACCACTGCTAGCTATGAGGAGTCCCTTTCGCCTCAGAGCTGCTTCTGACTGGCTGCTTCACTTCCCTCTCTGTGCTGCTATCTCAAGTTTCTGTGCCTCAGAGGGTCTTTCTCAATTTTTGATGAATTCCAGTGTTCTCCCTTCAATGTTCTATTTGATGTCTGGTTATCTATTTGTTGTTTTGGTCCTTTTTTTATGGACAAAGCCAGGGCTTGGTGCCTCTATACAACCACCTTAATGATATTCTTTGCACGAGTCTATGTGATTGCATTTATGTGAAGTTTTAATCCAATCTAAACTAATGTAAACTAATTTAAATTTATAATTTATATGAAGTCTAATCCAATCTAAACTAATTTATAGTGGAAAAAGTCATTTGGAAATTGCCTTGAGAGAGTAGAAGAAGAGGTTAGGGGCAGCCAAATTGTGAAGGAATATAAGAAAACTTTCTGGAGTATTGAAAATGTGTAAAATGTTGATGGGTTTGTGGGTTACCTGAGCATATTCATTTGCAATTGTTCATTTCATTATATATAAATTTTACATCAAATGAATAATTTACTTGGGGTAGACAGTGAGGGGATGTATAGAAGAATTAGTAATGACAGGAAGTTTATGGTTGAAGCTGTATGATGGGAACGCAGACGTTCATTAAACTATTTTGTTTACTTTGCATATGTTTGAGATTTTTCAATAAGAAAAAGTTTTTTAAAAAGGTTTTGAAACAAATTAAAAACTCACAATGTGGTGACTTTTATGAGAGTAATAGGAATTAAGTGCTGTGGAACCGCAAGACCTGGAGCAATTACTTGCCTGGGGAGATAAAGAATGGGAAGAGCTCTTAAAAACACACACGCATCTCAGCAGAGGTGGCATTTGATTTGGGATTTAAAGGCCAAGAAAGACCAAAGCAGTTGGAAATGCCCAGAATAGATAGTGAGTGATTAGAGAACATTGTGGAGCTTCTAGATAGAGTGCATATAATTGCCAGTACTTTGGAGTCTTCTGGAATAATCCTTTTTTTTTCATAGAAACAGTAAAGCAGAATGAACAGGACAGAGAGACCCAAGTCCGTCTATTCTACTCAAAATGTTCTTGGTTAATTTAACTTGCAACAGTTCTTTGCACTTTAGTTTTCTTATCTGTGAAGTGAGGGGATTCAACAAGGTTATACCTTCAAACATTTGAAAATTTTCTGAAGTCATAAGCTAGTGTGGCAAAGCAAGATACAGAATACAAGGTCTGAAAACATCTAATTCCCAGAACTTTCCTACAGCCATATTTCATGTATTCTGAGATACACATTTCCTTTTTTTCTCTCTCTCTTTATTGTGTGAGATTGAGTTTCACTCTTGTTACCCAGGCTGGAGTACAATGGTGTAATCTTGGCTCACTGCAACTTCTGCCTGCCAGGTTCAAGTAATTTTCCTGCCTCAGCCTCCTGAGTAGCTGGGATTACAGGTATGCACTACCATACACAGCTAATTTTATATTTTTAGTAGAGATGGAGTTTCACCATTTTGATCAGGGTGGTCTCGAACTCCCAACCTCAGGTGAGCTGCCTGCTCCAGCCTTCCAAAGTGCTGAATTACAGGCATAAGGCACACACCAGGCCTGAGATACACATCCTTACTTAACTTTTAACATCATTGAAATCAGGGCATACCTTATGATTGATGATGTCAAATTTCCAATGCTATAGTGTCATTGCCCGCCTGCAAGTAGTTGGTTATAATTCTTGGACAGAATGACTACATAATGGCATCCATTGATGTTTTAATCAACAAACTACCTATAGACCTATGGAGGAAAAAATACTAGTTACAGTTGCTGTCTGGAAAACTTCCACTGGTATCTTACAGTAAAATCAAAAAAAGCATCAGCATCAAATTTCGCAAATTGGTACCAGTGGCTTGACAGAACATTCCCAAGAATATTCTGTCAATGTAACACTCTTTAAAGAAATTCTGCATTCTTCAATTATCTTGATGGCTCAGTTGACAGTATTGTGAGGAGAAACACATCAATAACTGAGTTAAAAAGTGCTTCAGAAGAGGTAAACCATTCAAAATGTGAAGTCTTAGTCTTAATGCATTTTGCTTATATTTCCTTTTTACGTATACAAAGGGACAATATGTGATAAGAGCATATGTCTGAATAAGTATAAAAGAGATTTTCATTTTAAAAGTTATGCCTACAGTCTAAAAACTATTTTCTCAGTATTAATAATACAAAAGAGAAACTCAAAGTAATTAAGTATCGTCATAGTTTAATTGACAATGTTTCTTCTTTCTAGGAGATATATGTAAAATGATAGTTTATCTGGTGGAGCCTTAACTTTCTGAAACCTGATTTCCTCCCCCAGCACTTTCTTCCTGTTTCTCTACACTTTTTTCAGCTTAAAGATTGTCATTCCTGAGAGCTTTCCATGTATAGGAACTATATCAAAGGCTTTACAAACATACTCTCCACCAATCTACTGAGAACCTTATGGGGAGATAACTATTATTATACCCACTTAATATTGAGGAGACCAAGGGGTCTTATAGCCACATGTCTTGTGACACATTCCTTTCTGAAATTAGTGGAGAACCACAAAAGGAACCTTCCCTGGCCCAGATAAACTTTCTAGAATCCATCAGATCCTATAATTTGGGGAAGCACAACAGAAGGTACGGAGGTTTAAATCAGTCCCCATGTACACCTTAAGAAAGGCTTGCAGTATGCAGTGGCATAACAATCATAAGCTTTGGAATTAGACAGAATCAGGTTTCAATATCAATTCTACCACTTACTAGTTGTATAATTTTAAGCAAACTATTTAAATTCTTCGAGTCCTGTTTCTTCCTCTATCAAACAGGTTTAATATCTACCTTTAAGAGTTGTGTAAGAGTTCAATAATTCAATCATTCATGTGTTCAACAAGTGTTTACAGAGTGCTGAACTCCTATTGGGCGTGTATGTCGTGTGAATGAATACTCTATGAAAGCCCCTAGCAGAGCACCAGGTATGCAGCAGGCACTTGGAAGACTTGTTATTTTGTTTTTATTTGTCTGGACCTATTTCCCCTTCATATCAGCCTGTCATTTATATTTTGGTGAGTCCTCTCCGCCAGTCCAGTCTACAGGACTGCTGTAATTAGATGCCCAGTCTTTTCCTAGCCTGAAGGTGAGCATGGGAACCAAGCCAAGTCATGGATACCCATCTCCAGAATTTGAATCTTCAGCCCAATGACAAAGCAGCTGAAGATGGTAGGAGTTCATGCCTTCCATCACTGCCAAAACTCTTCCATCTCAGAAGGAAGCTGTCTTATTTCCTATTCCTTTCCAAGCCAGATTCTCCAGTGTTGCTATTGTTTTTGCCAGTTTTGCAATGATGTTATCATTCCAAAAATTCCCTTTTGCTTAAGTTAGCCAGAGCCATTTTTGTCACATGCAACCAAAGAAATCAGATGCCCACTTAAAAAGAAAAGTTAACTCCTCTTTCCCAAACATCTGTTGTATAGCTAGGAGAATAGAAGTACAAAAAAAGGATGATTAATGGTACAAGCATTCAGAAATACTCACTTTGGCAGCATATATACTAAATTCAGAATAGTTCATGTCAGATATTCTAAATAAAAATTCCATTGACTTAACTGGTGGGGGGCTTACTATGGGAGAGGCATGGCACACATGACCACATATAAAGCTCACGGGAACCTGTGTAGTAGGTAGCATCATCACCCCTGTTTCTTAGATGAAGATATTAACAGAGACATTAAGTAACTTGCTTACATGACCAACTATAGAATTTGTGGGGCCTATTGCAAAATAAAAATGCAGAGCCTCATGTTGGCTATTAAGAATTTCAAGACAGTGATAGCAGAGCACTAAACCAAATTCAGAATTCTCCTGAGCTTGCCCATCTATCCCGACCCCCAACCACATGTGACTGCACAGGTCACAAACTCACAAAGTTGGGCTTGCTAACTTAAGTTAGTAAGTGGAGAAGCTGAGATTTAAGCACAGGTCTGTTGGTCTTGGAAGTCCAGGATCTCAGTTAGTAAGTGTGCCTATAATGGGAATGCCCTAAATCCGGCTGAAACTGATAATCATTCCAGATCATTCAGATTATCTAGGCATTGCCCTCCATCTCCTACCCATAGAGCAGCTGGGGAATCACATAAAGGTTGATGAGGAGAACTTCAGGAACTCACAGGGAAAAGTACTTAATCTGGGCCAGTAGTGACAAGCCTTACTCTTCTCAGCCTTCCTTTTGTGTTATTTAGGCTCTACCCTTTGAAAGGGTCCTAGACCAATTATGGCAAATTTAGAGGAGCCTGAGCAGGATGCTGAAGGCACTTCATACAAGTGTTTACAGAACTGGGAGTGGTTAGCCAGGAGACCAGAAGAATCATGGCTGTCATCAAATCTCTTCTTCCCTGGGGCATTAGAAGCTTTCTGACGGTTTGAAATGCTGTGGCAGGGATCTGTCTTGCTCATCATGATACCCCAAGTGTCTGGCATAGTGCCGAGGACGACACAGTTAATGCTCAAGAAATAGGAAATGAAGGAATTAATTAAAGAGCCTGCTGAATGTTAAGTGGGAAAGGGACTAGATGTATTTTGTTTCCTCCCTGTCAATGAGGAAATCAGTTTTAAAGTAGTAGGTAGATTTTGATGTTTGAATATAAGAAAGTTCTATAGCCCCAAGATGGAACAAGCCACTTATAGTCCTTTACATAAGAAGGTCTTGAGTGTGGAAATAGTGACAAGAATACGTGGCAAATAGGTTTCTACTCCCATGGCAGTTCCAACTGATTGATAGTGGCTACCTTTCTTTTGGGAAGAAATTGTGCTCTGATCAATTACTGGTGCTTGCCATGAGCACATGAATACCATTTTGATGTCTTTCTTTTTTTCTCTTTGAGATGGGTCTCACTCTGTCACCTAGGCTGGAGTGTAGTGGCGCGATCTTGGCTCACTGCAACCTCAGCCTCCTGGATTCAAGCAATTCTCCTGCCTCACCCTCCTGAGTAGCTGGGATTACAGTTGTGCGCCACCATGCCTGGCTAATTTTTGTATTTTTAATAAAGACAGGTTAATAAATGTTGGTCAAGCTGGTCTCGAACTCCTGACCTCGTGATCCGCCTGCGTCGGCCTCCCAAAGTGCCGGGATTACAGGCATGAGCCACCATGACCAGCCCAGTTTGATGCCTTTCTTAAACCTCAGTATTTGTGACTCTGAATCTGCACATTTTATCCAACCCAGAAATGATGGGTAAGTTTAACTTTAGTGTTCCAATGTAAGGCAAATTAATTGAAACTGAGTTTACCAAAGCTCATCTCTGTGTGGTTAGACCAATGCCTAACTTTCTTGCTTCAGAGGCATTTTCCTACCCTAATTAGAAAATTGTTTGAAACACATTGTTGTTCAGTTCTCGTTAAATTTAAAGTTATGGAGGTTTTGAGGATTTTTGTTTTTTAGTTTTGAACTTGGCTACAATAAATATAATATCCAGCCCCACTGGGCAATTTTGGATGTCACATTCACTATACTTACAGATGTCTGTGGGGATAGAACTCTGAATAAATCTGTCTAAATAGTAATAAAAAATTACATGACTTCATAGCAATGTTAACCTTTGGAGGCAAAAGTCCAGACACGTTGAGGAATGGAAAATGAGGACACGGGGGATACAATTCCATTAGCTGTCATCAGAAGAAAAGGCCAAAAGGGGATTAAAATCTATAGCACATTCAAAGAGGGCAGAGAATAAACCCGTCCAACTTTGAAGAGGAAAGAGTGAATATTTGCCATTGTTTCCTGTTTCCTCCACAAAGGGGTTTATTAATTTACACTTAAGCCTCTGCCTACCTCAGTTAATTGAGTTTTAAAAATGAATAATGGACTCACTCATTTAAAACAAAGGAAGAGTCAATCACCCATACAGTCTTTATTTATTGTAGGCTGTATTTTATATCTTTATTCTAATCAGGTATTTTTAAACCTGGGAATCCAGGGATGCCATTTTTAAAATATAATTCAGAGGGTCACTAAAATTTTATTCAAAATGTAATGTGTGTTGTGAGTGTGTGTGTGTCTGTGTGTGTGTGTGTGAGAGAGAGAGAAATGGTCCACAACTAGCTTTATACTCCTGAAACAATTAAGAAATCCTAGATTAATTTACTCATTTTATCTTGATTCAGATATTTGTTGAATGCTGAGCTATGTGTAAAGACTAATCTAAATATTTTAACTAAAGATTTCTTCATTTACCCCTTCTGTGAAGTACCACATTTTCTGCACCAAGAAACAGAAACTCAGAGTTTAAATAACAATAATTGCTACCATTTATAGAACACTTCTAATGTACTGATTGTTTTTATATCTAATTTAATCTTACAACAATTCTATGAAGTACATGTTATTTCCTTCCCATTTAACCAATGATGAACTAAATGGTCAAAAAAGTTTGGTTACTTCAGGTTACTTAACTGAGGCTCTTTGGCTAGGTGTCTGACAAATGGGTTTGAACTCAGGTATAATACCAAACCCCAAACTTTAGTCATTACACAATGCTATCTTTTCTTAATAGCCTGCAGCATTTGCACATAGGTATGCTTAAACCTAAATAGCAGGATATTATTTAATAGGAGCTCAATAGCATTCACTGCCTAAGTGACCATTCTTATTACCTGAATTAATCACACTGACTTCCCTTCCTTTCCATCCATACACATTTCAGAAAAGGCAATATATTTCATCAAATTGAAGTAACATAAAAATATCTTACAGCTTTCCTTCTCCAGAAGCTTTTCCCAGGCCAGCAAAAGTTGTGTCTACAAGTGTTTGCTTGTATGGTTCCTGTGAGACTGTCTCCCAGGCCTGTAATCTGAGCCCTTATTGGGACTCAGGTGAGGTTGTTGCTGGGTTGAAGATGAGTCTTCCAGGTGGAGATAAAGAAAGATAACAACTAGAAACTGATAGCATCATCAGGGGATTCTCCCCTTTCTATATATTTTTTATCTTTCAAGGCTCCACATAAAACTTCCTTCTCCAAGAAACCTCCTCCTGGACGTTTGATCTCTTGAGCACTTGCAGTTAGTGCCACATTATAGTTGAAGAGTTGCCAGCAGGAAGAAGAGGTATGGACTACTTACTATAATAATCTTTCATTCAATCACCCAAGTTTTTTTTTCTACTCTGTAAAGTGTTAGATGCTTCTGAGTGAAATAGGTCTAATACTTCCTTACAGCAGTTAGAGGGGCCAAGTGTGAAAAAATGATTACAACAACGGTCTGAAGGGCTGTAATAGTGGCATTTTGCAAGTAACGTAGGAGCACAGAGGAGATAACAACAAAGTTTCCTGGGGGTGTTCAGGAAGACTTCACAGAAAAGTAATGTTCAAGTGTGGTTCTCAACAAAGAGTAGGAGTTTTCTGAGAGAGGAAAAAAATGGTGATAAGGGCATTCCAGAAGGGGGCTAGAATAGAGTCTTAAACAGTTACGATGTATTTGGAAGGAGTGAGATTTTCAGTATGACTAGTCTAGAAGGAAATTGTGTTGAGGAATAAAGCTGAGTTTGGGGTTTGTATTAGTCTGTTTTTACGTTACTGTAAAGGAATACCTGAGACTGGATAATTTATGAAGAAGAGAGGTTTAATTGGCTCGTGGTTCTGCAGGCAGTACAAACATGGCACCAACATTTGCTCAGCTTCTGGTGAGGACATCAGGGAGCTTTCAATCATGGTGGAAGGTAAAGGGGAGCCAACATGTTACAGAGCAGGACCAAGAAACGGGGAGGTACCACACCCTTTTACACAACCTCTTTTAAACAACTAGCACAAGAAGAACTCACTTATCACCAAGGAAATGGTGCTAAACCATCCATGAAGAGTCTGTCACCATGACCCATTCACCTCCCAGCAGACCCCACCCTCCAACACTGGGAATCACATTTCAGTATAAGATTTGGAGGGGAAATGACTAAAACACAAAAAGAAATGGCAACAAAAGTCAAAACAGACAAATGGAATTTAATTAAACTTAAGAACTTCTGTACAGCAAAAGAAACAGTCATTAGAGTGAATCAGCAACCAACAGAATGGGAAAAAAATTTTTGCATTCTACCCATCTGACAAAGGGCTAATATCTAGAATCTACAAAGAAATAAAGCAGATTTACAAGGAAAAAAACCCCCATGAAAAAGTGGATGAATGTTATGAACAGACACTTTTCAAAAGAAGAGATATATGAAGCCAACAAAAGTGAAAAAATGCTCATTATCTCTGGTCATTAGAGAAATGCAAATCAAAACCACATTGAGATACCATCTCACAACAGTTAGAATGGTGATCATTAAAAAATCTGGAGACAACAGATGCTGGAGAGGATGTGGAGAAATAGGAACACTTTTACACTGTTGGTAGGAGTGTAAATTAGTTCAACTATTGTGGAATATAGTGTGGCAATTCCTCAAGGTCCTAGAAATAGAAATGCCATGTGACCAGCAATCCTATTTCTGGGTATATATCCAAAGGATTATAAATTGTTCTGTTATAAAGACGCATGTACATGTATGTTCATTGTGGTGCTGTTTACAATAGCAAAGACCTGGAACCAACCCAAATGCCCATCAATGATAGACTGGACAGAGAAAACGTGGCACATGTACACCATGGAATACTATGCAGCCATAAAAAACAACAAGTTTGTGTCCTTTGTAGAGACATGGATGAATCTGGAAACCATCATTCTCAGCAAACTGACACAAGAACAGAAAATCAAACACCGCCTGTTCTCACTTATAGGCGGATGTTGAACAATGAGAACACGTGGACAGAGAGAGGGGAACATCACACACTGGGGTCTGTTGGGGGGAAATAGGAGAGGGATAGCGGGGGATGGGGAGGTTGGTGAGGAATAACATGGGGAGAAATGCCAGATATAGGTGATGGGGGCATGGAGGTGGCAAACTACATTGACATGCATGTACCTATGCAACAATTCTGCATGTTCTGCACATGTACCTAAGTAACAATCCTGCATGTTCTGCACATGTACCCCAGAACCTAAAGTGATATAAAAAAAAAATATATATATATATAGAGAGAGAAAATGTGGCACATATACACCATGGAATACTATGCACACATAAAAAAGGATGAGTTTGTCTTTTGCAAGGACATGGATGAATCTGGAAACCATCATTGTCAGCAAACTGACACAAGAACAGAAAACCAAACAATGCATGTTCTCACCATAGGTTGGTGTTGAACCATGAGAACATATCACACACTGGGGTCTATTGTGGGGTGGGGGTGTAGGGGAGGGATAGTCAGGGGTGGGAAGGTTGGGAAGGGATAACATTGGGAGAAATGCCTGATGTAGGTGAAGGGGGAAGGAGGCAGCAAACCACCATGACGTGTGTATCTATGCAACAATCCTGCAAGTTCTGCACATGTACTCCAGAACTTAAAGTATAAAAAAACAATTTGGAGGGGACAAACATCCAAATGATATCAGGGTGAGACTGTAAAGGACCTATGTGTAGGCTCTGCTGCTGACCTTATTTTGTCTGTATGATATCATTTTCTTTTCAGTTATTGGACTATCTTACTGTATTTTACCTTATTCCATTATGTAAACAAGTGGGAAATAGGACTTAGAAAGACTGACTATGAAGATGAGAAGCAAACAACTATATAAGAATGCAGTTTTCAAAGATAGAAACCACTAAATATGTCTAAACCAATGATTGTTTTAGCTTTAATTAAAGACTTGTGGGACAAAAGTCTGTGCATACTGTGTGAAGAAAATGAACTACATTTAAAAAAATGCTTTTCCTTAAAAAAAAAGTTTAGGAGAAGAAGAAACCTGGAAGGAAACAACGGTATTTTTAGAGTGACTATTATGTGTTGTTATTACACCAGAATTGAATTAATTATAACTTTTAGTTCATGATATACTGTCATTATGTTCATCTTTTATTTTATTAATAACATAAATACTGTATTTGGTGAACCTGCCACGAAACATTAAAACTAGAACATTGGCAATTACTTCTACCTTCCCAAGTGTTTCTTTTCTTCCCTTCTCTCTGTCTTCCCATTCAAATTAACCCCCCTTTTAACTCTCCTAACTCCTGTGATGACTATTCTCTTATTTTAATACCCCATTTATACAGATATACTATTACGTAGACCATATACATATACTAAGTATATATGCCTGTCTATATATATACACAGACATATATAATATATAATGTATTTTTATTTAAATTTTTAAAATTTCAATTGCTTTAGGGATACAAGTGTATTTGGTTACACTGAGGGATTGTACAGTGGTCAAGTCTAGGATTTTAATGTATCCATCACCCAAGTAGTGTACACTGTGCTCAATAAGTAACTTTTTATCCCTCCCCCAAGTCCCCTTCCTTCTGAGTCTCTGATGTCCATTATATCACTCTGTATGCCTTTATGTGCCCATAGCTTACCTCCGACAAATAAGTGAGAACATGAGGCATTTGGTTTTCAATTCCTGAGTTACTTCACTTAGAATAATGGCCTCCAGTTTGCAGAAGACATTATTTAGTTCTTTATTATGGCCGAGTAGTATTCCATGGTGCATACATATACCAAATTTTCTTTATCCATTCTTCAGTTGATGGACACTAAGTTGATTCCATATGTTTGCAATTGTGAATTATACTGCAATAAACATACATTTACTGGTGACTTTTTGACATATTGACTTTTCCTTTTGATAGATAGGTACCCATTAGTGGGACTGCTAGAACAAATGGTAGATCTACTTTTCGTTCTTTGAGAAATTTCCATCCTGTTTTTCAAAGAGGTTGTACTAATTTACATTCCCATCAGCAGAGTATAAGCATTCCTTTTTCATCACACTCACACCAACATCTAGTGTTTTTTGTCTTTTTAATGGCCATTCTGGTTGGGATAAGGCAGTATTTCATTTTGGTTTAAATTTGCATTTCCCTGTTGATTAGTGATGTTGACGATTTTTTCATATTTGTTGGGCATTTGTATACCTTCTTTTGAGAAATGTTCATTCATTTCCTGTGCCCACTTTTCATTGGGATTGTTTGTATTTTTCTTGCTGATTTGTTTGAGTTTTTTGTAGACTCTGGATGTTAGTCCTTTGTTGGATACATAATTCACACACATATATTTATTATGAGATTATAAAGATTCAGTTATGCTGGTGCATAGAGTTGTAGTTTATTTTTTTTACTGCTGATTATATTTTATTATGTGAATATACCACCATATATTTATTCATTCTGCCACCAATGAGGATTTGAGTTCTTCCTTAATTACCTATCATATGAAGAAACTTCTGATATTTTTCTGTCACCATTTCAAATTTCCCATGAACTCACTGAAATGGTTATTTCTTTTCTTCATTTTCTGGGGTGCAGACACTAACCTCAGAGAGGGTATGGCACTTTCCTGATCACAGGGCCAAACAATAGCAGAACCAACATTTCAGTTTGCTTCTGTGCAAATCCAAAGTCTGCCTTAGAACTTCCTTCCTTCCTGGAGGCTCAATTTTGACCCAATGTGCTAAAGCCTCAGGAGACTTCCCCAGCTCATTCCTGTTTTTTTCTGAGCCCTTTTTATTAGTCATTGCTGGGGTGAAGAGGGAATTTCCAGAGCTACCCCTGTCAGTAGATATCAAAACAACATGTTCACTCAGGCAATTCCATGGGTAGTAGTCAGTTACACTAAAAAGTTTTGATCTAGTCAGTTGGGTGGGGCTGCATAGACACAGCAAGCTGCTTGAATGAATTTTCTCCTTTTCTAACAGTTGTTTTTTCACATAGGTAATAATAGTAATCCTTTACTTGTGAACTGAGTTGTCCCATTTCCAAAGCTCTAAGTAAGAAAAGTCCTGTTGGCCCCATTTTGCATCTCAGGAAACCAGATTTTAGAGAGACAAAGTGATTCAGCTACTAAGTGGTAGCTTGGAAAAGGGATTTCTAGTCCAGCACATTTTCTGCTTTTCCATACAAATATTTCCTACTTAGATTAAATATATCACTCTGCGATGGAATCTGAAAATCCAGTTCTTAGGACATTTCCCAAACACAGTCTTCTTCACTATTAAAAGTCCCATTATCTCCATTGGAAAGATACCCAGTCAGTTCTCTAACCCCCAGAATATTTGAAAATCACAAATTTTGCTAAATGACAGTCACAATAAAAGGAGGAAACAAGTGATAGCATGATGTGGTTTGAAGGTAGTAGGATAGACGCCTCCCTTAAAATCTCTTTCTGACTCTGTCACATAGAATGAAGCTCCACTACTTCCCCATTTGTACCTGGGTTGTTTTCAACCTTTAGAAGACCTTTATGAAAAGGTGAGATATAGTATAGATCCTACTTTAAAATATCAAAAATAAGACAAATGGTTAGCTGTGTGTTCTTTCAATATTACATCGTCATGTATTGTCCAATAGCCATACCCAAGTGTTATTTAATTCTCTGTGGAAATGCACCATTGTTTGACTCACTATTTTCTGCTGTTTAAGGTCCAGTCTCTGTGAAGAAACATAGTAACTTATAGATTTTTTCCAGCACACGTGCAAATAATTTTGCTTGGAAGAAAAATAACACTAAAGACTAAGGTTTTATTTCCCTGTAGGATATTGACAAGTTTTGTATTTAACCCAGCAATTTTATACCAACATTCTTTTTTTTTTTCTTTTAAGTTCAGACTTACATGTGCAGGTTTGTTATATATGTAAACTTGTGTCATGGGGGTTTATCATACTGATTATTTCATCACCCACATATTAAGTCCAGTACCCATTGGTTGTTTTTCCTAATCCTCTCCCTCCCACCATCCTTTACCCTCTGATAGACCCAGGAGTGTGTTGTTCCCCTCTATGTGTCCATGTGTTCTCATCATTTAGATCTCACTTATAAGTGAGAACATGCAATATTTGGTTTTCTGCACCTGTGTTAGTTTGCTAAGAATGACAGCCTTGACCTCTATCCATGTTCCTGCAAAGGACATTATCTCCTTTTTTATGGCTGCATAGTAGTCCATGGTATCTATGTACCATATTTTCTTTGTTTAGTCTACCATTGATGGGTATTTAGGTTGACTCCATATCTTTGCCATTGTGAATAGTGCTGCAGTGAACATATGCATACGTATGTGACAAATAGGATCTAATTAAACTAAAGGGCTTTTGTACAGCAAAGGAAACTATCAACAGAGTGAATAGACAACCTACCAAATCGGAGAAAACGTTTGCAAACTATGCATCTGACAAAGTCTATAAGAAGCTAAAACAAATTTACAAGGAAAAAAAAAACCCTAAACAACCCTATTAAAACATGGGCAAAGGATATGAACAGACACTTTTAGAAATAAGACATACATGTGGCCAAGAATCATATGAAAAAAACCTCAACATCACTGATCATTAGAGAAATGCAAATCAAAACCACAATGAGATACCATCTCACACCCAAAAAAAATGGCTATTATTACAAAGTCAAAAAATAACATGGTGGCAGATTTGTAGAGAAAAAGAAGCACTTACACTTTTGGTGGGAGTGTAAATTAGTTCAACCATTGTGGAAGACAGTGTGGCAACTCCTCAAAGACCTAAAAACAAATACCATTCAACCTAGCAATTCTATTACTGGGTGTATACTAAAAGAAACATAAATTGTTATATTATAGAGACACATCCAACATTCCTTCTTCAGTACATATATATACCAATGTTTCACATGGTTTTTTTTTTAGATGATCTTTACAAATCTGCTTTTTTATTCATGAACTAGATTAATTTTGGGCATGTGTTCACATTATTTTTCTTTATAATTT